GGCAATCTGGGCTGCACCAGGACGGCAATCTGGGCTGCACCAGGACGGCAATCTGGGCTGCACCAGGATGGCAATCTGGGCTGCACCAGGATGGCAATCTGGGCTGCACCAGGATGGCAATCTGGGCTCCCAGACCCACCCAACAGCTCCGGCCCTCGTGCCACTGCTGCTCCTCCCACTCGGCCAGTGGGGCTGAAAGTCAAGAGCGAAAATTTGAAGAGTAACATGAAAAACAATCCTCCTACGGTTCTCCTGCCGCCTCCCACTGCTGTGGCCACAGGCAGAGCAGCTCCAACACATACAAACACACACTGCACACCAACAAACAAGGACCAAAACTCCCGAAGAACCACGAGCACAGGACCAGAGACACCAGCAGGCCCCACAGCTGGGGCCCAGCAGAACAAGGGGCCATCACCTCCTCCCCGCAGTGCAGCACCTCCTGCCCTGGGCACCCTCACAGCCCCTGGCCCCTGCAAAGGGAGGCAAAGGCAACAGGGAGTGTTTGTCCAGTCCCTGCAGCAAGTCTGCTCCATCCCTTGGGGCTCCGACCTGCCCTGCCCTGGGACACCTCGGCAGTCACTCCTGGAGTCCAGCAGGGAACTGCTGGTCAGGCAGCCCCTGGGGCCACGGGCTGCTGGGCAGGGCTGGAGCCTGTCAGAAATGCAGAGCAGGGCACAAGATGAGAGAACAGAAGTGAAAAGTGAGGGGTAGCTGGACCATGAGAAAACACAAGGCAGGGAATGGGACAGCAAGAGAAGAGAAGACAGGGACAAAAGAAAGGATAGAGGAACTACAAGAGGGGAGAAAAAAAGGGGGCAGGACAGAGATAAAGCACCATAGAATCATTTACATTGCACAAGAACTTTGAGATCATCAAAGTCCAGCTATTAACCCAGCACTGCCAAGTCCACCACTGAACCATGTCACTTGAAGGCAGCACCACCTGCCTGTTGGGGGATGGAACCCGGTGACAGGCAGAGATACCCATCACCAGGAATGGGGTGGGAGCCCAGGGAGACAGGAGGAGAGGCAGAAAGAGGGAGTGGGAGCAGGACAGAGAAAGAAAAAGAAGGACAGGGTGCAAGATGGAGATGAAGAACAAAACTGGGATGGGCAGCACAAAGAAAAGGATTAAAAAAGAAAAGGGGCAGGGAACAGGACAGAAGGACAGCAGTGAGATACAATGAGGACAGAGCAACAGAGTGAAAAAGGGAACATGAGAGGGGCATGGGGAAGGACAGATAAAAAGACAGCAACAGGGAAAGAGGATCGGGGAGCAGGACACTGGGTCAGAATGAGAAAAAGAGGGGCAGGACAGACATAGGAAAAGGAGAAGAAGAAGGAAGGAAAGATAAAGATGCAGACAGGCAGTGACATATGGAGAGTAAAAGTAGGAGAGGGAACAGGGAAAAGGATTGAGCAATATTTATGAAATTATTATTTAATATTTATTTACTAAAAGAGAAAAACAAAACCAAACTAGAGCAAAATAGTGACAGGGAATGGGATGGGGAGCAGACAGGACAAGAAAATGACACAAAAGACACACAGAAAAAAAGGGATGGAAAGTTGGATATAAGGATGAAAGAAAAACGGGAACAAAATGCAGTATTTATTACAGAGTGTGGCTGATGAACATGTAAATGACCCACCAGCTCACACACAACCACGGCCTGGCACTTGTTAATTCAGCAGCTGTTTCTTGGCAGGGCCATAAACCCCCTGACAAAGCGTGAGGGGGAAGCTGAATGGGTTGTGAGCACAGGGTGTGGTGCTGCTCAGCCCTGATCCCAGCCTGTGCTCTCAGTTAATGCTCTGATCTCAAACTTTTCTCAGGGAAATTTCACCTTTATCCATGCTCTTCCCCCCCCCTCCCCCATTGTCTCAGTGTGCTCTGAATGAATGTGATGAGAGACAAACTCAACTATAACCTTTTCCTTGCTTTTCAGTCATTCCTAACATCAAACACCTCACACTGGAGAAGACTGAATAGCTTATTTTTACCAGTCCAAATTTCTGCAGGTTTTTGTATCATCTGTTTCCTGGTGTTATGAGAAGTGAGAAGTGTTTTGGGCAGCACAATGAATAAAATGTCCTAATTTTCAGAAGACACAATTGCACAAGAACGGACAGCAAAATTGTCTCGAGGCAGTTTAGGCACACATTTCCCTTTTTGCACTCTGAGCTTTCTTTTGTTTCATGCCTGAAATTCTGAGTTTCTTAATACTCTGCCCCAATCCTTCCCTCTCCTCAGTGTCAGTGTCACAGTCTTACGAAAATAGTGGAACTTTCTTGAGCACTGAACATCAGCTTTCAGGTCACAAAAAGTGGTTCAGCAGCCAAGCCCTGCCTGTTGCTTCCACCGACTGTTCAGGCCAAGCACAGGTCCTTCCTCTGCAAAGAGTTTACACTGGGTCAAGCAGCACAAAAAGCAGCAGCATCAGAGTCACTTATACACAAAACTTTACAGCATGAACCATTTTAAAAAAAAAAGCTCCCCCCAAAAACCACAGCACACAACATCCCAAATTATAGTTCAGCATTGCAATGTATTATTATGTGCAACACTCAACATTTACAAAATGAAATACAGGCACGTGCCAGGGGTCTCAGGTACAAGGCAAACGGAACAGTCCTACAGATCTCTGTATGTACAACACACGTGCTGCCCGTGGCATCCGGGTGGGCTCTGCCTCATGTTCCACCGCTACAGCAGATCTGGGGAGCACCCCATGTCCCCCTAAGACAGCAGCCCTGACTGACTTAGGGGGGTGCAGAGCATCACCCGTGACATGGGCTGTCTGGGACAAACCCACAGGAACACGTGCATGAAACACCAACCTGCTGTCTGCACACGCAGGACTGACCCTCGGGCCTCGCTCACCGCGGGACACGGCGTCACGGAACGCTGACACGTGTTCTCCAGGTGACAGGAATGCTGGATGACACGTGTTCTCCAGGTGACAGGAACGCTGACACGTGTTCTCCAGGTGACAGGAATGCTGACACGTGTTCTCCAGGTGAATGGAACGCTGACACGTGTTCTCCAGGTGACAGGAATGCTGGCTGACACATGTTCTCTCCAGGTGAATGGAACGCTGACACGTGTTCTCCAGGCCAACACACGCTTGGATGCTGGCAACCAACTGGACAAAATAGTGTTCTCCTTCCCACTGCTGACATATTTAATGCTCTCTAACACAAACAGTACCTGGGAGAGGGGCTGTCACATCCCTCTGCAGACACACACTGCTGCTTCCGTTGAAGTTCCTGACCAACCTCCTTCACTGTTTTCTGCAAGGAGCCTGAACCAGCAGACTAACAGATTATAATGCTAAATTAGGTTCTCTACATTCTTTCTCTTCCCCTCCTCTACAACGTTTTCTTTCAATTTTCTCTTCCAGCCCCCTAGTTGTGTCTAAAACGATGCATATAAACAATAATACAGATAACAATACATCAAGTTCAGGCACTGAAATCGGCAGTGCCGATGTTACAATCTTCTTACACATAACAGAAGCTACATAAGAGCTCTCCTGGAACAGGAAAAGAAGAGAAAACACATATACTTTTAATGCAATACTCTAAAACCAGCAAGAGATTTATTCTTGTATATTAAATGTTAAAATCACATGCATAATTATAGAATACTTTATAGTTAAAAAAATACTTAAAAAACCAACCCTGACAGTTTACCTGCAACTGCTATAAAATTTCTATTATATATATATATGTATATATATATATATATAAACATGATGATTTTCTGTAATCAAAAAAATTAGAAAAGGATGCAATCATCCAGGTAATTATGAGTTAACTGATGCCCTGCATCGGACAGTCTTGTCAAACTCCTGCTGGCAAAACTGAGCTCATACCAGCCAGTTTATTGAAATACTTGTCTAGCATGCAGATTTAAATCAAAATGACATTTGGCTAAACAATGAGTGTAAGAAAATAGATTTTTGCACGCTACAGCAAAGATCTGTGAAGGGCCACAGTGTCATATGCTCCAAGAGAGCCTGTGGTACAAGAAATGTAGCCTCATGGGCTATTCCCTCAAACATGCTGGTGGAATATTCTGCATAACTGGCCATGTGCATGGTGTGGAGAACATGGGTTTTGTAAGCAATGCCAGAAATGCCAGCATGTGTTTTACTAGGCTTTATGGTTTAAGACACGGTTTAGCTCCTAAGGAAGGCAGCAACGAAGACGTTTGTAACAGTTACCGAGACACAGAAAATAAAATGCTGAGTGGCTGGTTTAAGAAGGTGAGTCATTGCTGTTTTGGAAAATGGCCCCATATGGGTCACTGTTAATGCGCCTGTAGACAAAGTGAAAGACCTGGGGCTGGGGACGGCTGTGCAACTCCGCCTTAATTTTCTGAGGGTAGGTATCCTCTGTCAGTTGTTGCCAGGTGTCATCAACAAAAAGAAACAGGCTATATTCTTCTGGATTGTCCACTTTAAACTTTTCAGCACAAAGCTGACACACATCTTCGGTGGTGATATACGGTCTTACTAGTAAGGTCTTTCCCGTACACCCACTGGTCACTTCCTGGAATGCCACACGAAGGTAGTTCTGCAGAACGAGAAAACAGGCATCAGAAACTCAAAAAACCCTCATCCTTAACCAGCACTGGGCTGGAGTCTAAGCCTGACATAACCAAGCTTCACGTGATGGCATTTGCTTCTTTTAAACAGGGCTCAGATGGGTGCAGAAAGAAAATCTACTCTGCAACATTCCAGTCAATCCGTTTGATCTTGAGAAAAAAGCTGGACCTTTGTTCTCTGTAAAAACTGACACGTGCCCACAACTCTGATAAAATGGATACATTCTAAATATGCCCTATCAGGAAATGCAGTTTTACCCTTCAAAAAGCATTTAAAAAGTAAAATAAAGAGCAAGAATTGGGAGGGTGGGAGCCCCCAGAAGTTTTTGGACACACGAACACGGTGTCCAGCTGCCACATGTAACACTTTTTGGTTTGCTTGTTTGAAAAGAAAAATTAGCTGCAAGTAAAGACTAAAAGGCAGTAAAATTAAAGGAGGCAGAAAAAAAATTACAGTGAGAAAGAGCTGTTTATTGACTGAGCTGGTACCTATGGTTTGTATGCTGAATAAACTAAGCATGTTAAATCACAGTGGCAAAAATTTACATTTTTGGGACTGAATCTGACTGAATAGAACTAATCCATTTCTGTTACCTGGCATGAAGAAATTATAGGAAAAAATCAGCCCTAGATAAGGCAAAACACACTACACTTTTAATTTCTAATGTAGCTACCACAGAAAAGACCTGTTTTTAAATACATGTGCCTTTAGATGGACAGGATTGCTTGAAGGAGAGGCTGAAGTTTGTAAAAATGCCTGTAATTCATATGCATTAAAATTATTCACACAGTATCAGAAAGCTGTATTTAATCATCATCATATAAAAACATGACTTGTCCTTTTCCATCCTGTTGGGGAAGGAGGAAAGGCAGCCCTTCCAGGGCCCAAAAGCTGATAAGGCTGTGAGACTACATCACAGAAATGTCATGATCACAGCCCAGTTCGATGTGGGAAGGATGAGCTGAGCTCCAGTTGTATTACACACTGGTGGGAGGGAAGGTGCTCCAGTTCAGGACTGCAGGACTCAGAGGAAGAGAGAGAAAACTGGCATTCTGAGCAGGCAGAAAAATGCCTGAATTTGTGCCAAGCATAGCCTGGAAGTACAGTGATCTACGGATTGGAGGCTCTTTTAAAGAGACAACAGACTGAGAGGCACTGGAGGCGCTCAGTGACAGCTCTTCCCCTGCCCCTTCCTGCATCCAGCTGTGCACTGAGCTTGGATGAAGTTCCTTTGCAGAGAAAGAGAAGCTGAAACTGCACACAAGATGCTGCTGAAAGAATCTTCCGTAATTTTGTCATCCAGCAGAAATACAGGGTGTTGGATTTTCCCATGGGAAGTGCAGTGTTTTGCCAGAAAGAACAAAGACTCAAGCTGCTTGAATCTGACACCTAAGGACAGGTAAGCAGAACACAAGATGCATCCATCCCAGTAAGATGGACTAGCTTTGTGCACTGGCTGTGGGTTGGACTTTCTGTTAGTCTGTTCTCCTCTTCCTAACTGTAAACAACTGAACACAAAAGAGTAAAGAAATCCTTTCTTCTCGATTTCAACATCCTCCTTGCTTCAGTCCACAAACTGCTGCATCTGAACAGCCAGTCAACAGCACATGAAAGATGCAGGTTTTAAAAGATGAAGCAATCCCGACTGTTTTGTTATTCTTCAGTTGAAGGTACTGCCCTACTCTGAAAGAGCAGTACAAGATGCAGGGGAGGGGAAAAAGAAAACAACAAACAAACGTGATGACATCAATATTACAGAACTCTACTGCTTGCTGAAACTTTAAAACTGTAGGCAAACTTTTCTCCCACCTGTCCTCTCTGTTACCTGCTGTATGCCAGCACTGGCTACTGGGGAGCTGTGCTGATTTACACCACTGGACATCTGCATTTGATCTTTTTATCAGTAAAACATACAAAGAAGCTGAATCTAAGATATAACTCAGTTTGTCCTTGCTCTGCATGACTTAGAAGGGAGAGTGAGAAAGCTTCATTATTTAGTGATCTCTTTACACCATCATAACCAAACTCTTTGATAAAGTGCAAAGACTTCAAAACTGAGGCAGACTTGCCAGACATAATCTCAGCACTGCTTCACTCCACTTGTGGCCCTGAGCAAATTGCTATGAATCATCTCTCTCAAGTGGGAGTTTCCAACAAAACAATCATCCCAGTTTTTATTTCAGCCCTAAGTTCTACCTGGAAATCATCAACTGAAGGCACTGTCCTGTTAGTTGTCCTCCTCTTGTGCCATTGCCGCAGAGTGTCTCTGGCTTCTGAACTGAGGAGCTGGGCAGCTTGTTCCTCCTGGAAGTTCTTGATCAGTGAAAGTGCTCCATAGGCACTGGTCAAGTAATAGCCTCCTGTGAGGGACAGCAGGGGAAGAACTTCTCAGAGTGGTCACAGTCACAAGTACAGGCACTTTCTTTAATATACATAAATATACACACAGAGACACACACACATATATAAAGTCCTTGTACTCTGCTGCCAAAATATTGATACATAAAGGAAAACAGCTCACTGGCCTGCAAAACACTGGCTGGTGTGTTCTCAGCTGCTAAGGGACGTGCAGGGGTTGCATGTTCTCCATATTATCAAGTGGTGCCTCTCTCTGTGTCCACTACTGCTCAGGACAGCTGGTTACTTAAATAACTCCTGTTACTGCTGAGTGTAAGTTGGAACTTACACTTAGAGTTCCAACTCTGCTAAGTTGGAATGCCAGTTTTCTTCTTAACAATTTTCAAACAGCGATTTGGTTTCTTACCAAGCTTCAGATGTGGATGAAATAAACATAGCTGTTTAAACAAAGCAAAAGACAATCTACCACCGGTCAGCATCTTAAAAGCAACCCCCCTTAATGGCAATAAAGAAACAACTGAGTGTGAGATTTGTACTCTGGAATCATCTCCAAGAGTTGCCTTTGTTTTTAAAAGGAAGACCAATCTGTCACCCTCTTAGAGTTCCTCATAATGTCCAACTAGTTCAGAAGATGACGTGTACAGTGCTCCATGCACCTTTATTACATGAGTGGAGAACAAATTAAAGCCACAACAGAGCTGCCAATGTACAAAAGAAGCTGCAGGTCACAAAGGAAAAGGAGTCTCAACAGGAGGTAACAGTTCTCAGTAACCAGGAGAGACAAAAGACATGCTGTCTTTCTTTTTCTGCAAGTAAACTATTTGAGTGGGAGTGTCCAACTAAGAGGCAGCACAGTCTATTCACAGAGGCATTCAAAGCTGCATTCTATGCCCACAGTAGTATTTTCTATATATTTGACAGAATCCACTCTTAGCCTTTAGCTTTGCAGCAAGATTACTACATAAAGCACATGCAAGACCAGTGAGACAAGTTGGACAATATGTTACAGTTGAAATGCACAACCCCAAAGCACCAAACAGTTTTTACTGCACAGTATAATTCAGCTGGTGCCTAGGACAGGACAAGCCAATGGACAGGCTCCTTTTGCTGCTTTAAAAACAACGTGACTTGACAGCCCAGTAAATGTTTCTGCCTTTGAAGCAGGTTAATGATTCCCAGCTTCACATTTCAGATATTTTCCATGCTAAGATTCCTGAACAATGCACTCGAGGATGCTCTGTACACAAAGCAAGGAACAGACTAGTGCCAAGCTGGAGGAATCGTGGCAGGAATTCTCTCGGGCATCCCGGCATGGAAGAGGATACAGCAATTTCAGCAAGCCAGGAGACAGCAGGAATAGGAAACGTGCACACAGACCTAAATACACAGCTGAGCTTCGTCAAGAGAACCTTGAAAATTCCTCATAAACTTGGGGCTTCTGGGGCCTACTGGGGCCTTGCAGAAGGTGTTAAAAACGTCACCATGAAAACAGCAAGGAGGGACATTTCCTTGCCTCTAGCAGACTTTAGCCATCAGTCAAGACTGCCTTGGGGAACGTATTCCTGGGGCTCATAAAAATACTTTATGAGAATCAAATATTGGGAAGAAGCAAAGATCATTAAAGAGGGGCAGTATTCTCAGAAGCACTTCCCCCAGAGGAGCAAGGAAGGCCCCCAGTTTCTACAAAGCACCTAACCCAAGTCCCACCACGTGCCTCACAGTTTAAGGGAACGCTGCTGCCCTACAAATACCCTCGGGAAGTTTTCAGGCACAGAAGGATAACAACATTCAGCACCTGCCCAGTGCATGGCTTTGGTTGCTAAGTCACAATGGGTCTGCCACAAGGGATGTGCTCCCGTGGCAGGGGCCAGCAGCAGATTCCCAGCTCACGGGGCCTGTGCTCCGCCAGCTGCCTCTTCCCTGCCGCTGGAAATGGTGCCCAGACTGTCGTCACACTCCTGACATGGCCCGTGTTAGGGCTCCCTTTCAAAGGGTTTCCACTCAGACAAGGTTAACAGCAACTGTGCTATGAGGAAGAACCCCCTTCACTAGTCCTTCACTCAGGTCTCTTAAAAATAAATAGATTACCTTCTCCATGCAGCAAGGAGGGATCCAGCAACTCCATCATGTATTCGATCTCAGTATCCAGCTCCAGCATATCACACTGGGCTAGCACATATGTCAGCACAGGCAAGAAGTCATCAGCTCCATACAGCCTCCCTGGGTTGAAGGGAACACAGACAGTGAGAGATGAACCGCACCCTTTTACCAATTTCTGTGTTTGAAAGCAAAGCATTATTTTGTGCCTCTCTGACCAGGATATCTGGATTGCTCTTGAGCCTCCTGTCACCAGTGTGCAGCAAGGAGAATGTGATCTGACACTCCACGGACAGGAGACCAACAGCAGCTTCATCCTGTGCTTCTAACAAGCACAAATCTGATGCTGCACACCTTGAGGCACAAAAGGGAAATTCAGAGACTGAGCTCACCTTGGCACCAGCTCAGCTGGTGAACTCACAAAGGCTGCCATGCCAGTCTGCCCTGACCTCCACCTGTGCTTCTATCACTGCCTAAGAGATGAGGAACAGGCATTTTCTTTATACATCCAGGCATTACATCCACTTTCTGGAAGGATCCAGACACAAATACCAGTTTCTGAGTCTGAATCCCACAGCAGAGAAGCCTGAATATAAAAGTGTATTAAATTTGACATGGAAACTCAACTCATTTTCTTGACAAGAGAATAGTTAAAAATATCAATGAGCAAGGCCTCCTGTACCTGAAGGGAGCCTGCAAGAGATATGGAGAGAGACTATTTATAAGGGCCTGGAGGGACAGGACAAGGGGGAATGGCTTCAAACTGAAAGAGAGTAGGTTTAGATGAGATATTAAGAAGAAATTCTAATTTCTTCTGTGCCCTGGCACAGGTTGCCCAGGTAACACAGCATGGAGAAGGGAGTTTACAGAACTTCAGGCCTACACTCCTATACCCATTTTTAAAATGCAGGATTTTGCACAGAAATAATAAGCTGGGCAGGAGCTCAGTCCTAAATCTTGCAAAAGTATCTGGGGGGCTTTAATGGCCATGAGCTTTCACCATCAAATCTCAGAAGAAAGTGGGTGCCTTGATAAGCACCAAAACCAGCTGCACATTCGATGCTCCCTTAGGAAGAAAACTGCCAACCACGTGCAGGAGCTCATACTGAGGGGAAAACATCTCCCACCGCCACAGTGCTGCTTCAGCTGAGCTCAGGACCCACCACAGCAGTGTAGGAGAAGATGTCAGAGTCGCTCCTATAAATTCAGGCTACTCAGCACAGCATTTTAATTGTGCCACTGACTGCTCAGCAGGTCTTGACTTGTTTTCAGTCCCATTTCTGTACTTAGGTTTCAAAGGCATTTTTGGATTCTTGCTACAGTACAGAAATAGACGCTCTCTTTTCCAAAAGCATGACAGAAAGTGTCCAAATGAGAACACTCAAAGGCACAGCAAGCCAAAAATACTGGGTTAGAGCCTGCTTTTCTCCACCCATTAACACAGAACCCTGTAGTTGTCATGCTGCATGCACGCTATTGAATTACTATAGCTAAATATAGGGTGTTACCTCTATTATTAATGTGCAGAAAAATACTAATTTAGAATGAGTGTCAAGTTCAAGGCTCACAAGACAGCCTTTCTGACAGCCAACTTCAAAGCCTACAGTTAAGCAAAGCTGCTCTTTTTCAGCTGCCTCTCACACTGAGTTTGTAAGATGTGCTACCAGATACAGCAGAGATAGCAGGGATGAGGCAGAGAGGAAGAACCCCTCTCAAAAGGACAAGGAGATGCTACAAGAGCTCCAGGAGGAGACCCATCTGCAGAATCAGGTGGCCTGATTCCCCTAAAAGACAATGCCAGGAACGGAGGATCTGAACTTGAACTATACGAAGCACCATACCTGAGTTATTCTCCATAACAGTGTAAATCAATTTGCAAACTCTCAGCAGCAGCATGACTTTCTTTTCAGGGGAATACATCTTCTGCATAGTCATGAACTTGACTTTAATCTTTTCAACGTCCACGAAGTCCGGGGTGGGAACAAACACGCCCAGCTCCTGAGGGTTCCTCTGCCGCACCAGCTGCAGGTTTTCCTTGAGTTGTTTCCAGGAACCATCTGTGGTATGGAACTCTTTCAACATCGCTTCAATGTGACCCTTCAACGGCTTCAGAATGCACTTGTGCATGGCCTTCTCCAGGACAACATCTGCAACGGGAGAACACAAGTCCAGCTGACCTCCTCCTCTAAAGCAGAGCCAGTATTAATACAACCATTCCCTAAAGAGAGACTGCAGAGCAAAACCTACTGGCTAAGGCCTATTTATTACATAAGCTGAGTTTCCAGATGTTTGTTAACAAGAAAACAAGAGGCAGAGCAGAATCTGTGTTCCATTGTCATTTATGGCAGTTGGTAAATACAGAAAAAACACCCACAAAGATGAACTACAGACAGTAAAAAAAAAAAGCAAGCTGTGGCTCTACTTAAGTTTTTCTTTTGTTGGTCAGAAGTCTCCATGTTTTATTTTACTTCCAGCTTAGCCTTTAACTCCGAAATTTAAACTAAAACACAGCCAACATCATGAAATCATAATTTTTGTCTGCTTCGGCATTAAAGCCCATCCTTTTTGCATAGTTTCCATTGGAAATTATAACTCAACCAAGGTTCCCTAAAACTTGGCTAAACTTGTCAAGATCTTTACGAAGCTGGATAGATTATGGGCTTTATACTATAAATGAAAACCAAGCTGTGTTTGTCCAGCTTCAGATTTCATCACACAAGCTCACATCCAGCTTTGTCATCAAGTTGGAAGTTCTTTGTTTGGCACTGTAACCACAAACTTACAGGCTTCTTTTAATTCTTGTTCTACTCAAGTGTTTCTTTAACCCTCGTTCTCCAGTTTCAAAGTACAGACTACATCAACAGAGAAAGCTCTTTACTAAACATTTTCTCTGCAAACCTTTATCTCATAAGGGAATTTCTTTTCCCAGCATCCTGACAGCAACAGCATCAGCGCCCTTACAGCAGCATAGCTTACATTGGTTATTAGATTCCATCAGTTATTTGGACCAGAGTGGAGAACATGCAGCTCTCAGGACCAGAGCCTAGAGCAGGCAGGGGAGCACCAGCACTGAGAGCAGAAAGGGGAGAGACTGTGTCACTGCCAGATCACACCTTTTTACAACCCAGCAGTGGACATTCCTGCTAGTAATGGTGACCCAGGAAAGTTTCATTAAACCTCATGCCCTTCCCAGGTTCTTTGTCTGTACTTCTGTCTTTTTCTTAGACTACAGCCTCTTTCTTTTCTCTCTACCCCCCCTTTATTTAAAATCACATACTCTTTCTAAGGCTTGGGATTTACACATGCCCACACCCTCCAGACAAGCATTACCTACTTTTGTTTTCTTGCTTTTGTTTATGGTTTTATTTATCTTATCCTTGTGTCCAGCCCTTTTTTTCTTTTGGGTCTTCATACCTCTCTTTCCCACACAATCACACCCTGCAAACCCTCCTCCTCTTACAGTGCCTTGGCTTCATATGCAGCGTTTATTCTGTGTTTGTCTGCTATGCAATTCCCAAACTTGCAACTCTGCTGGGAGCTCCCCTCTCCCCTACCCCAATTCTGCTGTGGCTTCTGTAGCTTGTCTTGCTGCCTTCTGCTTTTGAGACCCTACTGGAGGGGCAAAGCTGTGCCTGCTTCATTCCAGGAGTTATAAACACACCTGGGCTCTCCTTCACAACAGAGACTGTCACACTGCTGGAGGTGAGAAAGAGTGAAGGTGAAGAGCAGCATTTGCTGATTTTCTGGATTTCCCTACAGCCACCTGTAAAGGCATTATCAGTCTGACACATGTTCTTGGTGGCCTGTCACACAGCCTGAAGGGTGGATCCAGCTTCCCTCCAGACCAGAGTCACCAATTATACATTAGCAAGTGGCAACACTTCAAAGGACTGATCCTTATCTACTGTACTTGGGAGAGCCCCACAACCACCCCGACAGGGAGGCCTCCAGAACACAGCCAGGGAAGCATCACCCTTGCACACAGGGACACAAACTGCCTCTCCCTGCCATCCCAGCAATCCTCAGGGCTCATGAGGCAGAAACAATTTTCCACCAAGAAGAACACACAAGCCCCACCCACGGGTGTGCTGGCTAGCTAAAGTTCTAGGGTGGACACACAGTTCCTTGCCAGCTTCACTGATCATTTGACAATTCAGCTTGCTTTATTTCTATTGCCTGAGTTCTTCAATAGGAAAGACACCACCTGCTTTGCCTGTAAGAGGAACACCTCTGCAGTTTGCATTCCAACCACCTGATCTTGTTTATTAAAGCAGTTGGTGCTCCTGAGCATCAAGCAAAGTGACAGAACTCTATCCCTGAGGAATGGGAACTCCCCCAGGCTTCCACTGAAGTTCTGCACATGAACAGTGAGCATCAGCCATCCTCCAGCTCAGTAAGGTGGGGTTATCACCACACTTGGTCGCAGGAGGCTCAGTACATTCTAACGAGTTCAGCACGGCTCCTCAGAGCCCACAGTCTGATCCCGAGGGAGCACCTCACCTGGAAAAACTCCCTGTGTTTGGTGCCTGATCCTCTCTGGGGGCCAGCCTGCAGCTGGTTTGGCTGCTGCCTGCAGGGACAGTGGGGAGGGAGCTGCAGCAGCAGTGCCTGCCCAGAGGCTACAGGAACTGCATTCTGCTGGGAGACAAAATTCCTGCTCAGAGCCCCGGCCCCCGGCTGGGACCAGGCTTCTTATTTGCAGGTGAGAAGTGGGAGGTTCAGCTCTCCTGCCCTCGACCCTGGCAAAGGTTGTGCCACTCCGACAGATGAACCACACAGATTTTTACAGCTCAGCAAGGCAGCGAGGAGATGTTCTGTCATATGCACCATTTGTCACAGGCTCCAAAAGCAGCGCCTGGTTTGGCTTTGAAATTTACTCAATCACCTTACGCAACTTCTCTGGAAACTTCAATCGATTGGAAGCAGCACAGAGGAAGGGGGCACATAAGCACAAACCTCCACACAGCAAAACAAAGGACTAACCACAACAAAGAAGAATCCACCAAACCACACACAACCCCCCCCCCAAAACAACACACAAAGTTTTCCTCTCCCTTATGAATCCTTAGCACAGACATAAGTACCACTGAGTTCTGGCCTCAAATGGAGTATAACTGGCAAAATCTAGCAAGCAGCAGGATTGATAAGGACTGGATGGGTTTTTTAATGGTCAACAGTAATACCCATATGTATCCTAATTCATACAAAAGCTATAAAAAATGTTATGTTATTATTAAAGCCTGGAAGGACAGCATTTCTTGTGATCTGGGTCTTAGAACAATGTTCAGGGTCACAGGCACCTATAAGCATGTTTGGGCTCAGATCATCCAACTATCTACCCTTTCTTCTGAGCTGCTGTTTCTGGCCCCTTTCAGAGAAAGGTGTTTCTGGTTATGACCCCACAAACCAATTCCCAGCCAGCAGCAGTTTTCACTGTGTAATTTCTAATGGCCACAAAGAAGTATATGAGGGTCTCCCAGCAAATTAGCATCTAAGTTGTGAATTAAGGACTAATTATTTACCTTAGCATCTCTGTATATTTCTCAGATCCAAACTGGCAACAAAAATTCCTGTTCACTTCAGCTATATGTTTTCAAATTTCCTGCCAGGATGCTTAACACTCCAAAACCAAAACAGGCACTCTTCAGTTTTTGGGTTTTTTTACTGAATATAATTTGACCTGAACACTGTGTATCATTCCTGAAGTGATACTTATAATTAGCCTCTACCCTCAAAATGGGAACTGGAAGTGCTTTGATAAATGAATTGTAAAGGCCAGCCAGCTAGTTTCGTTGTGACTTGTGGAAACACATCTGTATCCTGTGCTGACACACTATTTTTGTTTTGCTGCAAACCACACAAGTCTGCATCTAGACAGGACAACATGTTAGTCATCCCCAGTGTCCTTACACAGCCTCTTTACAACCCTCACTTCCTCAAACTGCCTCAAAGGCACACTCTCACCTTTTCCAGGTCCCCAGTTTACCTGTTACCAGCCACTGTTGGTCCGCTGAGATTACCTGTCAGATTCCAGTCTCTGTTTTACACACAGGCCGGTTTATCACCCTTGATGGCCAAACCATTCATCAGGAAAAGCAGGGGTCAGTAAGAGACTGAGCAAGCCTGAGGAGCACCACAGAAGGGCCCAGTCCTGCACAGTAACATTGCCTGGGAGCTGAGGAGGTTGCTTTGAAATACCACACCATGTACGTGCAAGACACCTGACTACACTGCATTTGCTTTGTTCTGGATTTTCCTGATAGCCTTAAGTTCACAGCCTGGCACGATTGACACGGATCTATTTTAGGACAGCTCATGTCAGGATGGCCAAGTATCCCTTTCTTGGTGGTGCCTGCAGTGTCACATGCCTAGTCCATGGTGCAGATAAGGGCATCTCCTTTGAAGGAGCAAGACTTGAAGGTAAGACCTCACAGAACCCACATTCCTTTATAATCTGCACAGCTCTGAAAAGAGATAGGACTGAGGTGGGCGATGTATAGGCAGTGGTGGCAGAAGCTGAGCAATTAGGCACAAAAGGTAAGCCTGCCCTCATTTTACCTACCTAAAGCACAGCAAACAATCACACAGCTATCTGTGCTAGGCTTGTTTTGCTTTAAACAGCTGTGGGTTAACTAAAAATCATGCTATAGCTGTGTGGTAAATACTTCTCTGAAAGTAGTAGTAAAAAAAAGGAGCAAGGAATAAGTCACAAAGCAAATCAAAGGGATGGTTGGAAAAGGGAGAACCTAGTCCTCTGCCTCTGCTCAGTGCCTTTAGCACTGTTTCTTACTTTCCCAATCCTGCCACTCCCGTGGTGACAGGAGGAGCACTGAGGGACACATTGCTCAACCTCACCTCAGAATGAAAAGATGCCAGGATGAATGACAGGATAGGGGCATGGGACACCAAAACAAGTGTACAAACACCTCAAAAGTAACACAGTGCTAAAAATCAGCCAATGTGAGTTTTTCAAGGAGAAACAGTGACCTACCATTCTAACTCCTTTAAGAGGATAGTTGGATTAGTGAAGAAGAGGGGACCTGGGGTGGGCTACAGCTTAGCCTTTTTAAGACCCATAGCCCTAATTCCATGCACCTTCCAAATAAACAAACAAGGGAAATACTGTCCTGCTGTAACAGCCATAAGGTGGGTGCATGAACAGGTGCATAAAACAGTGCAGTGAGAACTCCATTATCAATGGCTGATTGTCAAATGACAGATATTTGAAAAGAGGTACCCTGGAGGTCAGTCCTGAGCTTTAGTGTGTTTGGTACTTCCAGCTCTGTCTGGCTGTGACTCCTCCACACACACCCAAGCCCCTGTGACACAGCATGGGCCTGCCAGCAAGGGGCCAACACCTTCTCTCCAACCTTCTTTGAACCTTCAGCATTTAAGTATCTGTTACGTATTAGAAATACCATAACAAGTAACAGACTGTATTGTTTAGGCACATTTCCACACGATCGGTGCCAAATTATTTAAACCAGTCATTTCTTAGGCCAGGCCCACATTCAGGCATTGAGACTGAAGCTGTTCAGATGTTAGATCCCACCTGGCAAAGTGACAACAGTCAACTCAACTCCTTTTTGCTCAAAGCCAGGGAAAGAGGAAAGACAAACAAAAACTCCCAAACATATGCTGATCAAGCAGCTGTGGACTATCAGGGCCTCCTCTGACCACTCCAGGTCTTTATTCTGTGGATACAAATCGAGGTGTGGATGTCTTTTAAAAAAACACAAATTGCATTCATCTTTAAACAATAAAGAGCCATGTGCCCTACTCTTGGTTCTGTTCCAACACTGGGAATCCTAGTGCTTCGGGAAGGGTTATTAGCCTACAGTGCTAAGATTAGGAGGCATCTGTCAGGACTAATTAGAAACCCTGATGCATATTCTCCCAACGATTTTGCAGAAGTTTAACAATTTGATGTGACCCCTGTCTGGGAAACTTCAAAGATTTCCCACAGAAGTCTTTTGCTTGCAGGAGTCCACGATGCCATTCCACAAGAAAAGCTACACGATCACAAAGACCATGACAGAGATATGGGAGGAAGTCCCAAATACCAAGGGCTTCACTAAACCTACTGGAATTCAGGAGACAAGAGGGGGTTAAGGCAAAGCCTGGCTGACTTAGAAAGGAGTATTATCCCAGGAGCACACATCCAGTGCTGGGATGAGGCACTGAGAGGAAAAACCTGCACCACCAAAGTGTGGGCTGACAGGAGAGGATAAACGACGACTCACAAAGTTAAAATCTGGGCTGCAATTCCATACTGAAATACTCAAGCAAAACTGTGGACAACAGGCAGGGCTACTTCATAAAAAGCTCTCTGCAGGGATGACTAAATTTTGCTGTCACATAGTTATCTGCTTACATCAGCAACATCTGATGCTCCTGAGCCACTGCAGTTGTTTGCAGGCTTGAACCACGGGCAGCAGATGATTCAAAGGCAAGTTCTTCCTTTGTTTCAACTATCCCACTTTATAAATTAATTGTGTTTAATCATGTGATCCAAGCCAAACTTTCTGTCGCTGAAGAAAACCAGTGTAGTTCAGTTACTATATTTCACAGCTTATGCTATTCCAAAGTACTGAAACATTAAAAAGCAGATAACATGTTTCCAGTCCTGGGAGACCCACACTCTGAGTAAACCACACCCTTGAAATTAAAAGTACACAACAACCTAAACTTTTGCAGAATTACACACAAACTGGATCTGTATTACTTTGTCAAATATCCCGTGCTCTGCAGAAATGCAGGTGAAAATGTGCACCCCCTGCTCAATTCGGTGCTTTTTCTTCATGTGACAGCCCTTGTTATTACAGTGAGAACATGACATGTCTCTGAGTCTCCATTTCAAGGACATTCTTCACGTTTTTGTACTTGCTTTAGCAGTCCTTGTGACTTCTGCTTGACTTTGTGTAAATGAGGTTGAGGTTACACGAGAGTACTTCCTCTTGGTCAAGGACAGACAGAATGTCAACATAAAATTACCCTCTAGTCCCAGAGAAAAAAGTATCTGCCAATTTTGCACTGGGCCAACTGTTGGGACACTGGGGTATGGAGAAAAACAAGCAAATCAGGACTGAAGTGAGCTCACAAGGAAAGTATTCTGCCCTGAGGGATGTTTACCTCCTAAATGTGGCTTACAGGCTCTTTTACAAATACTGCTCAGACTTTGCAAGAGGGAGGCAGTGAGATTTTATGCAACAACGATTTCACTTTTGTGGATACACAAGTCCCTCTGTGTTGTTAAAACATATATTTAAGCATATAGTTCATCTGCAAGCGTTTACAAACATGTACATAGAACAGAAAAGTAAAGAAAACTAGAGATTAGCAGCTCCTTTTCTGTCTTGCACACATTTGTTTGCTTTTTAAAACTCTTATATATCTGTTTATCTAGTTTCAAGTGTAGGGACAGTGCAGCTTTGCCAGGAGTGATTAGGAATGTTTCAAAGAATGAGATTTATTTAAAAAGTAAGTTGTCATGAAAGTCTCTCTGCTCTTAGATGTCACTGGTTTTGAATAAATTCTAGTTCGACAGCTAAAATCTACATGGTTAAAATCAGGAGTTTTGCACCAAGCACTGACAACTATTCCAGCCCAGTTTAGGAAAAAATACATGTGTGCCAGCAAATAAAGGATTCTGTGTTGTTAACAGTATAGCAGCTAAAGCAGTAACAATCACAGGTAAAAAGTCCAGGCTGCACCTATTTTAAGGGAAAGTTTTTATGAACAACTTGGTAGCATAGTTCTTCCAAGCTGACAGGGTGGTTTGGGGTTTTAAGACCCAAATACTCAGTGGTTCAAACTCTACTGGCAAAGTCAGCTGCACTTTTCTGAACTGGGCAAAGACTAGCACTGTAAACACAGATTACACGTTTTCACCTTCCCACAAAACACAGGACAGTGCTTCTTACCTATTTGGTCCTCGGGAATCAGTGATTCGATTGGGGGATCGAGTTCGGAGCTTTGGGACAGGTAGTTCTTGACTTGGGTCATGAACTGACGAATTGTTTGCAGCATATCAGTGCTGGAAACATGGCACTCCTTGTTTTCCTGGAGAAAGCTGACATAGTCCTGTACTAAGCATCCAAAATAAGTGCGTTTGTCCCGGGACATCTCTGCAATTTTCTTAATCATCCTCTTTTCGGGGGTCATGAAGGAACTGAAAACTCCACTGACTTTCCGCAGCTGAGATTTCACAATCTTGGGGAGAACAAAGGAACTGCTTCTTTTCTTCTTGGGCTTCAAAGGGGGTGCCATGCTCTCCTGGTCACTCTCCCCCTCGAAATCCTCCAGGCTGCTGTTGGTGTCCCCCTCGTAGCCGAAGAGCGGCATGCTCCGATCGAAGTCCAGCGAGTCCGACGAGGAGGTGGAAATGCTCATGTCGCTCAGTCTCTGCCTGCCTCCATTCCAGGGGATGTGTGACTCAGAGGTGGTAGCCGCCGTCTTTTTGGGAGCTGCCGGAGCGGGCTCGGGCGGGGTTTCACCTGGAAGCCCGGCTGCTGCTTCGGGCCCACACGCCGAGCTGGGCCGAGCGGCCGCTGCCGCCTTCGGGCCCCCTTCTGCCTCGGAGCACACAGCCTCGGAGCACACAGCCTGCTTCTTCAGCCGAGGAGGCGGAATCGGGGCTGGCTTGCTCTGCAGCGAATCCGAGCCTCTCTCTTTCTTATGGTTCGCTGTTCCTGGCATGCTCGCCTGCTTTATAGTCCTGGAGAGCCCCGGGCTCGTGAGGGTGCTATTAATAGCAGGAGGTGGCGGCCGGGGCGGGGGGGAGCGAGGCCTCGCCGTGCCATTCACGTCTGGAGTTCTCGGGCTCTGCCTTTTCAGACTTCCACTGACATCCTGGCTGTGCACTTTTAAGAAGAGGGGATTAATGAAACACAGCGCTCCGTTGGTCTGGCTGCACTCCAGCTCCGAGGGCGTTCTGGTTCGTATAGAATGCACTCCATTTATGAGGCAGAGCTGCCGCGAGTCTTTACGAGCACTGTCCAAAGGCACAGGCCTACAGGGAGGTGAAGGATCCAGGGGGTTGCTGTTAGCCAGGGAGCTCCAAAAGTCTGAAAATCATCATTGCATTAACGTAAGAACGCAAACCAGCATGCAGATCCTCTGAGAACATTCAGCTCAACAATACCAGTTTAAAGTATTAAGAAATTTAGGCGAGCTTTTATTAATTCAAGGGAGGGGAAAAATTCCAAGTGAGCCTGTTAAAGCACCACCAGACACAACTGCATGCTACACTCCTGGGACTGCTCTTACTCTCTCATAAATACCATGACCAATGCAGAGCTTCCAAACGGCCCACTGAACTAAGCTTAAAATTAAACTGAGAATCAAAGACAGGAGTGGAGACTGTAACAGAGTACTTCTTACCAGCTTGAGACCAAAATGAACATAAACTACTTACTAGCAGCTCACCCAGGAGAAATAAGGCAAGATTCTTAGCTGGTACTAATAAGCTCACTTCATTAAAGACAACAGTTTAACTGATTTACACCAGCTGAAGGCCACATATGGCAACTCAACAAAAATCTTGGCTGGTTTCTCTTCATAGTGAACCAACGAAACTACTCATGAGAAGCCAGCTCACGTTCTGCTGTGGTGGATGCACACATCCCCTTTAGCTATGCACACCAAGTGCTCACGTGTCTAAGAGCACTGGCCTGCAGCCCTGCCTTTGCCATGGGGACAGTTTGCTCAAGGTTACAGACACTCAACAGCCCAAAAATAGACCCGAGGTGCAGCCCCACACCAGCAGCATGGAAAACCTGTTCTAACCCAGCAAGTTTCAGCTGCAGCCTCCGCACTTGTCCCAGCAAAGCATCTGCATGTTTGAGCAACTGAGCCAGTGGCAAAGAGCATCAGCTCCTGAAGGTCTGAAGATGGAAATCAGATGTGCCCTTGAGGACAGCAGTCATGCAGAAACAAGGGAGGAACACCGGAGGAGGGAGATTTTGCTGAAAGCTGCCAATCTTGGCATGGTTCCTTTCTCCTGTAGTGTCAAGATGCCTCGTTTGAGGCCACTGAGCAATGACACCTGGGCCCAAGTTCACGAGTGCCAAGCATCCACAACAGGTCCATGTCTTGCCTCCAGGGCAGAAGACAGGAAATGGCCCATGGTGACAGGCCACTGCCAGAGAGGTGCATAGGCACAGGCATGTTTCTCTACACAGTCACACAGCTTCATGACTGCACATCCTGCCTGCAGATCTCTCAGCAGACTGGCCAGTGTGCCTGGCATGTGGGCTGCTGCAAACACACGTGCTGTAAGCACTGCTGCAGGTGAAACACAGGAGAGGCCCAGAGAGCAATCTTATGCTCAGCACATGAAATCTTACAGGTTGGCAACAGCTTTGAAATCTTTACCAGCTGATGTGGTTTGCTGGGCTCCATGCTGTTGACCTGTCTTCTGCAGCTCTCCTCTGAGCCAACTGCTTAACAGAGCTCTGACAGCAGATCCAACCCTCTGTGTTCACAGCACAGTGTTTTGGGCCTACGTGTTGCTTAAGGAAAACTCACATTTAACAGGAAGGGCTGCTAAGAGCCCACAGCACTGAAGGGCTGACTTCCTGGTGTGCTCGTTCACACGTGGACACCTAAAACTCCATCAAAATCTCGACTTTGTTGCCTGGTTTTTGCTCATAGAAAGTGTGGTCTTAATCTGGTGTATATTAGGTAATTGATCCCAAACACAGCAACCACACAGACATTGATCCATCCATCTCCTCCTCAGTTTTCAAATATTAGGCTAAAGAAAAAACACACACAGTGCAGAAACTGTTCAAGAGCAAGACTAATTCTGCAGTAAGTAGGCCACAGTGGTCCGGAGTACCGAGGACAAAGACAGCGGGTTAGTCTGGAGGACTTGATCAACACCACCATTATTATCCCCTCTGGAAAAACTCACCTAATGTTCCCTTAAGGCTTCCTATGTGTCACTGGGAGACTGTATCATTACACTGTATCCCAGTCAGACCTTTTATTTTCTTTTTGCCATCTAAACAGTGACCTCAACAGTACCATATTTGCCTCTACTCCCATGATAACCCATATTTTCATCTAATTACCTAAACTTGCAGATAAGCAGTGCAAAAGTAATTTATCTCCTCTCTAAAACAAATCCCTTAATTGGATTGCTACTGCAGTAAATCCAAATGCAAGGCAGCACAATACAGCCTGGTGTGTCTGGAAGTATAGTTCTAGAGATCCTCACACTAACACTGATTTAGAGAGGATCCATCTAAAAATCCATGATGATTAAAAAAATCTACTGGGACAAAGACTGCTGACAGCCAACCTTCCCTTCCTGGAGAAGGAAATGAGGCTATTCAGCACTTTGCAGGAGTTGCTCAATGATTCATCTGGGTGGTGCCCAAGTTTCAAATCCCGCCGGGCTCTGCATCTCCTGCGAGCTCAAGGAATGCTTCCCAGTGAGCCTGTGCTTGGCTGCAGCAGTCAGGCCATGCAAGGGCATGTCCTTGCACTGTCTTTTGTTATTTCAAACATTTGCTGTCATGCACAAATGGATACATTCTGCAGGTGTGCACTCCTTTTCTTAATATGCCATTTCAATGAGCCACTGACCTCCAAAGTCCCCATTCTAAGTTTGCAAGTCAACCTGAACAGGAGCTTTACCGATGGGGCCCTTGGTTCCTACACTGTCCTCGCAGCTCCAGTACATCACCAAGCCAGTGAGCCCACAGCCAACAGCAGGGTTTTGAGCAGAAGCTACATCAAACCTCTGTCTGGGGATTGCAAGATTTGCTTTGCCCAAGGGCTGCCCAGAGAGGGGAGAGAAGAAGGAGGAAGGAAACAGCACTAACAAAAACACCACAGAAGGCACAGAAGGAAGAAGGAGCAGCACTATTCGGCCAGAACAAGGTTTGGTCTTCCCAAATAAGAGAAGGTTCTTTTCTACATGAAATCTGTAACATCACTAACCAATATGAACTTCTTACTGACACAGATTACTTTTTCAAGCTCACAGGAGTGCTACAGGGAAGGACAGCTCTGTAAAGAACTACTTACTCAGTCCAAGCTGAGCAATGTCTTCAAGTTCAGCTTCTGTCTTTGCTGCAGCAATTGCATGAGGCAACTTCAGTGTGAATGGAAGGACATCCCTGTTGTCAAAGAGAAAAACAATTATGGTTTTCACAAAAAAGTCCACAGTTTTGAGAGCATTTGTTTTCAACAGTGGCAGGGGATAATCTCTGATTATTTTCTTCTTGAGCTGTGGCAGGTAGCAAGAGCCTTAAACCCACAGCACAGTTAAAACATTACCAACACCCTGGAGAGTGCTGTGAAGTGCAAATGACAGTCAAGTACCCAGGACTCTTGCCAGGGTTTCCAAAGAGCCAGCCAGTATTTTCTGCCTTTCCAACAGAAGCTTTTACACCTGATCTTTTACAAGCATATCAGTGAGATGCAAAAGTATTCTCTGCCCTTAACACTTCAGCAAGCTTATTTTCTGAAGATGCTGTTGACTGCTCTCCAGGTTGAATTCCAGTTTTCAGAATAAAAATTTAAATAAGTAGTTGTGCGACTACTCTAAAAATTTCCAAGCTAGGATGCTTTGGTGCTACTCTGTTCTAGGCTGAAAACACACTTCATTTAAGAAAGTTTTTGTAATTTATTCTCATGTGTGGTTTCACTTCGCTGTGTACGAGGTGTTCAGTGGATGTTGTCAAAGGGAGATCCACAAAGAACAACATAAGCCAAAACCAGTGTAAAAGGCTTTTAGACAGAGATTTTAAGGGACAAAACCACTTAACCATACGTACATTGTACAATCACTACCATCAAACAATACTACACCTCTTGCCTACCCAGCTGGTACCAATACACCCTCGAGCAGTGCAGGCTAAACTGCAAAACCTGTACTAGAAGTACCTACGTAATTAAGACAAAATGAGAACGAATGGAGCACAGAAATCCTACACACAACTAGTGTCAGCATGAATTTTGGTTTTAAGGCTGGGAACAAGCCAACCATCTGCTTAGCACAGGCACAGTGTCTTTATCACATAAACATTCTCTATGTTGTACATTAACTTGTTGGAAAAACAGGATCTCAGAACACCACTCAAACTCAAATCAGGCATATTTGAACACACACTCAGCACTGCACCACAGAAAATCTAGAGTCTAGATCATCATCATGGTCTCAGTTCAAAGATAGGTAAACCCTGACTCCTCATAAAAACTGGCCATTTTTTCTCTTCATACTGCCTGGAAAACAAGTTTGGCAATCACAAACTGGAAAGCTGATGAGGCCATGTTGGTTGTTCCCAATTCAAATTCACGTCTCAGTTGTCATATTCTACAGTGTGATCTGGCATTTTTCCATTATGCTCCAAAAATTCTTTTAACTAGCAATTCCAAGAAAATGCCATTGCAAGCTAGTTTATAGTTGCTATTAAATGAGTTACAGAGCACTTAAAAAAGTATTACAAGATATCAGATAAAGTTCAACGTGGCACCACCTCACAGCTGGGTGGGTGACACCACAGCAGCCTCCCAATAATCAGTACCAGGTAAGACAGACACTTGCTTCCAAGTCTCACCTCTTATTTCTTCCATTACCTTCTAAGACTACCCAGGGATATCTGTAATTGGCAACATAAATATCAAGCTGAACCAAGTCCTTGAGACTGTCCCTTCTTCAAGAAAGTCCAGCAGACATAACTGAGAACATAACACCACCTTACCTGCTAATACAGTAGAAAGCAATGAGCCTGAATAAATCAGCAAAACTTATTCCAGACCCCTCCAAGGAAAATGCTGCAAAGAAAGTTACAAGAGAGGAAGAATCACACGTTAATCCAATGTTCCTTAGAAAAGTTAAGTAAAACACATTTCATATTTTTGCACAAAGTTAATAAGTTTTCACCATTAAACTAGCTAAGTTTTCTTTGGTTAAGAAAAAACAACTCCTCCACATGTGCTGTGGAGGAACACATGTCTCTGCTGAAGGCATTTTTAAGGACATACTGATAATCTTTGTGGACAGTTTGCTTTTGTATTCCAAGCATAAGATCTAATTCCTGTGGAACAGATGAAGTGTGACTCCCAGGCTCGGTGGGGAAAGCCAAAAGCCAGGCAGCAGCTTTGGATACCTCAGCTAGACCTCTCAGTGAGCAGCAAACCCAGAATTTGGTCAGTACTCTGTGCTGTAAAGCTGGCTCCTCCACACCAAGGTTCTAGTGCCACTCACTAGAAAGTCAACCAGAGGAAAATTTAAGCCAGGTACCAACCTTTTCTCCAACTTTTACACCAAAATACAGGTCAACCTGGTCATTTATGTGTCCAGAAAAATGGATTTCTTTAAGAGAGGCACTAACAATGCAGACAGTAAGCACAGAGGGGAGCTGGGAGTAGGATCAGAGAAGGAAGGTGTTCAGATCCCCAACTACAGTTAAAACCTCAGCTGTGATGGGTGAGGAAAACTTTCAGTAGATACTTCCCCCTTGTGGAAAAATTTTATTCAGAAATGACAATATATTATTATTTCATTTTCTAGATGGGAGAGAGGGAATTCATTAGTATAACAAGCCTACAGACACAGCCTCAGGTCACACTTAGATCAACTCTTGTTGATAACTTTCTCTTCTCTTTGCTCGCCTCGCTTCTGACTGGAACCAAAACCAGACACACAGAACTGACTTTTTGTTGCTGGGAGCAGGGAAGGGAGAGGTGAAAAAGGAAAAACTCAACTAAAATTCTGACAGTTTACTAAGAGAAGTAGAACCACAGTCCCTCTGTTTCAGGGAAGTTTAACTGAAATTGTTGCCAATTTTCTCCAGTTTTCACTTTCTTGTTAAAATGAAACACTTGTTCCACTTGCAGTTTCTGCACCACATACGCTCACCAGCTGCAGCTTCCTTTTTTCATTCCTAAATCTCAAACATACTTTTCACACCCTCCCTCTAAAGATATGTGGGTATTATTGATTCAAAACCATTTGGAGTGCTAACATTTACTCATTTCCACTAAAAAAAGACATATATAGATGGAATCGAAAAAGAGAAACATTGATCTTGCAACAGAAACAGCTAGATGGATTTTAACCCTTTGAAAACATTACATTAAAAACAAAGCAAGCAAACAACAAAACACAAACAAAAAAGACCACCCCACACCCAAATTTGTAGATATAGAGAGCTCGTGGCAAAGTTGCATCCAAGACCAGTCCCCTGAGTACACGGAACCACCAGCACATTCCAGTGACAGCAGACAGGATTAGAGACTGTGCTCCTACAGAAGGTATGCAAGTCTCTACAGAGGATAACCACCCATAAAAATGAATGAATCCTGGATTCAGCAAGGTATACAATGGAAACATTCCAGTGCCAGCACGGACTGAAGTGTTTCTATGTCTCTCTCCTCGTCCAGGGCATGCCCCAGCCACTCCCAGAGCCACCTCAGACAGCGCTGTGTGCAGCCCAGGACATTGTCTGCATGACTTTGGGTGTCTTCTGCCGTGTGTTCCACCAGTGCAAGTGCTCCTGCATCACACAGGGAAAGGCATGGAACAAACAGCTGAAGGGTGTGTAACTCACAACTTACTGTATGTACTTTCTTTGATGGCAAATTCTCTCAGGTAGGACCCACAGTCGCTGGGCAGACGCAGAGAGATGACTTTCTTCTGCAGTCTCGCAGATTTCCTGACCAGAAATATCTGTTGTGCAGAAGGCAAAAGGACATGGTTTCAGCTTCATCACAGATGCTGTTATAGAGACAGATTATGGACAAAAGGAACCAGAACAACTCCTGAAGTCTGATCTCCGTAAAACATAACGGAGTTTCACTTGGGCATTGCTGTCCCAGGTCCAACACCTGAGTGGAACAGGGCAGAGAACCCTCAGAAAAACCATCCCCTCCTTGTACATCAGAGGCACCACACTGAGTCCACTGTGCTCTGCTCTGAGCTCTCCAGCTGGACACACAACAAATCCCAAGGCTTGTTTTTTAGGGTTTTGTTTAGGGTTTGGATTGATCTTTTTTTTTTTTTCCCCACATTCATCAAAGAAATGGAATTGTAACCTCTTACCCCAGGAGGCTGGGCCTGAAGAATTTCCATGGCTTCAGCATCACTCAGACCCAGCTGCAGCCACACAGGGTGAGTGTGGAGGAGCTTGTCCAATATGCTCAGCTTGTTGGATAGGCTGTCATATCCAGAGTCCCGGGGGCAGCTTTTTACATCATTTTTCTCAGGAGAGACATTATCCATGTCCTTTATTAGACTGTGGAAAAATTTAAAGAAAAATTAGTTAGATATGCTAACCTCCTATGAACAGTCATTCAGTTCAGCAAACTGAATTATTGCAGATCTGATGGCACTGCTGGCACTCTAGACTGGTATTCCTCCTACTCAGAGTTCTTATATTTAGATACACAAAAGTTCTCTTTATAGGTTATCAATTCCAAGCCAACTTTAAGATAAGCCTTAGCATTCTTCTGTGAGGTTGCAGAAATTCAGCAATCACTTCAGATACAGTTGCATGTGCATATGTGATTGCCTGAACATTGCACTCCCCTTCTTTGCTGTGCTAACATTTGGAAAAACTTCCCTTCGAGGGCATTCATGTGAGTCAGATACTTTTATTCCCACATGGATTGCAAATGCTGCAACCTACAGAAATCTTCCTCTCTCCTGCCTGCCAGAAAAATCTGTTCAATCCACTGACAGTGGAGGAACCCACTACCTGTTGGTCACTGCACCAGACACAAGCACTTAGTCCAATTGTTTGGAGGGATTATTTCCCCAACAGAAGCCCACAAACCAGCAGCACTTCATCTTATCCCCAGACCACTGTCTCTGCTCCAGCAGCTCTCCACAGCTGCATATCCATCTTGATCCCCTCTGCTAAAGAGTGGTCAGAGACCACAGTCAGGAGAAAAGAGAGAGAGAGGGGGAAGAGGCAAGAAAGAGATGAGCAAGACAAGAAGGAGACAAGAAAAATGTTAAATCCCCCAAATAACCCTCTCTAAGGTACAGCTTCATCAGGAAATCCTTGTAAGTGGCAGTTACTTTTTACAGTCTTCATGCTAAAATGTTTAAATATTTACATTTTGCCATTTTGCCATGAAAGGTCCTTACCTCACATTTTAGAAATACACTTCCCAGGACCAGAAACAAGTAAGGAAGTTTATTTATGCTCCTAATTCCTTTGGCTCCGGATTGACCCCATAAGAAATAAAGGCTAAGCTAAGTGTGAACGTGGCAAAGTAATATAAGGTTAAAATTTATTTGCAGCAGGGCATCTAAAGTTACTGCTACATTCAGTAATGAAGTACATTTCTTCAAGGCTACAGATACTTGTTACTAAAAATCCAAATAAACGGAATACTTTGAGAACTCCTTTTATCGTGCAAAGCTTCATCATCATTCATGTAGCACAGAAATGTAGCACATTCATCTACACCCAATAAAACTGCATGTGTGTTGCTGGTTCAAATTCCTCATTTCTGAGCTGGAAGCACATCCTGAGATTCTCCCAGTGCTGGAAATCACCACAGCACAGTTACCCCCTGAGACAATATTTAGGAATGGCCCCAAACCAGCCTGCAAGCCCGACTGAGATGTCAGGCAGAGGGGCTGTGTGGTCCCTACAGACCTTTCCTGACAGCAGGAGAGGCCCTGCACAGCAGAGGGCAATGCAGCTCCATTTCCCCACTGCAGACTGCTTTTTGCAACTCTTCTGAACCTCGTGCTCTGGACAGGCCCTAAGCACCACTGACAGCATTCACCAGCTGCATTATGCCAGCTGCTGCACCCAGCAAAACTGGGTACAGAGTTCACAAGCACACGAACACTGAATACTTAAAAAGAAACAAACAAAAACCCCACCCAGCCCCAAGAAAACCTCTAAAAACCATACCAAAGAAACCAAACCAAACCAAATTAAACCCTACCAGCTAAACAAGAAAAAACCCCAAACCACCAAACTGCTTCCTTCTAGCTTTGGTCAGCAACTTGCAGCATCTCTGGATAGGGCTAGAAAGGAAAGCAAATGGGGTAGAGAACTTTCACTGTATTGTCAGAGGAGAACGGGCACAATCATTTGACTTTTCATTACCTGGATCAATTACCACCACCAGCCTCTGCCTCCCTTTCTTTTGTCCTCTTTCTGTTTGCTTATTTATGGTGTCCAGATCTGCAAGGCATCTAAAATGCAATGATCTTCCCCAGCCCACAGGAGTCAGAAGTTTTTAGTAACTGCCAGTACGCCTTCGAGGGGCACAAACCACAGAAACACCCTGTGTGCAGAGGGGAAGTGCTGCTCACATCAGTCATGACAGGGCTCTGAAACCTTCCCAGCAGGAATCCTGGGCTGCCCCTTCAACAAGAACCTGGTGTCGTAATGTGTGAATCTCCAGAGAAGGCAGATCATGAACCACAGAAGTGTTTTCACGAGCTGTACCTCCAGTAAATATTGATCAGACACTTTCCACTCACCCTCAGTGCCAGTGAGCTGCTTCACAAACTGAAGGGAGCTGTGGCAAAGTGCACCAACACTGGCTGCACAAGCTTAACTGGATAGAAATGATTTCCATTCCTTGGTCAGGAGGTGAAAACTAAACATGCTGCAGAGGGAATATGTCCAAGAGGGAAAAGTTTTTTGCCTGCTGAAGAAAGCTACAGCACACGCAAAAGAAGATGCCAGCTGGTATAACCTAGAATGCCTGGCATTGCTTGCTACCACAGAACCACCTAAAGCTGGCTAGGGTTTTCACAGATATGTAGGGCCACAGTGTTCCCCTTTGGTATGACTGGCTCAGTGTTCTCACAACCCCCCTAAACCATTATAAATAAGAAGACTAATCTGAATAGGGAGCTGTCAGGTTTTTGGAACCCCCAGGTACTTACATGCACAACTCCCCTTCCACATGCCGAGAGCCAAGGAGGAAACTCTCTGACCTAGATACACAGGCACCTCCTTGTTGCAGCTGCTTCTGCCCCCTCAAGAAATAAGCCAAAGATTATGGGTATCTGATCATGAGAAGAATTTCTGCCACTCCTAAACAGTGATGGTTCAAACAACCCTAATGCAACCCAGCCAGATCAGCACTAGTATGTTACTGCAATCTGCAGGGTGGTAAACAGGAACAAGCAACACTTAACAAAAGTTATTTTCTATTCCCAAATAAAAAAGAAGGAGGTAGAGAGAAAGATCAGACCTGATGAACTCTGGAAAGAGCACAGCTCAGAAAAACCACATGTGACAAAACACATACAACCCACGAGCAGCCACTTCCCCAGGTCCAGGAGCAAGCGCAGTCAAAAGCCCACTGGTGTGTTTTGACAGCCTATTACAGCAGTCTGGCACTCCTGAGCATCATGTTCCCAGTTTGGGTTTTATTCTTAAATTCTTTTTAATTAATGATCTGGGCATTAGACATACAGTCGAACCCTGACACATGGCAGTTCTTGAAATCTGTCTTGTCTTAGACTGTAAAATTATTTGAGACTGGGATGTGTGTGTAACTACTTTGGAAACAATTGCATGGAAAGAACAACCATTTGAATTCCTCATGAGCCACTGATTAATTCAAGTGTACAGAATAAGAAGTTGCTGTAACCGAAATGCTAGCAAAACATGCTGTATATTATGCAACAACTAAATTCCTCTCCTGCTTTATTTTTGGTTTGGGGGAAGGTTGGTTGGTTGGTTTGTGCCATTTGTTTGGGGTTTTTATTACAGAGGCTCCTGGTAAAAGACAATCTGACTAGGTCACACTAAACTCAAAATCGAAACACAAATCACGGATGGTCTGCTTTGATGCAGGGGTGCTACACTGGTTCCTCTTCAGTGGGAAAGCAGTTTCAACACAACTCACAATGAACTGAAGAAAACACATGATTCACGCAAGTTTCCTTAGACTTGAGAAAACCCACAAGCATGTGGGAAGTAAACAGAGGTAACTGCCAAGATAAACAGTGCTGTGCTGCATCCTGATTAGACTGAGCTCACAGTAAAAAAGACAAGGAACAGGTTGAAGCCTGTAACCAGGATGAACCTTGCTCGTGATGTGAGTCTTGCTCCAGTCCCACCAAAGTTAACCACCCCCCAGTCAACCCAGTTTGACTCCCCACTACTAAAGTGCCTGCATTTGTGTAAATTCTGCAGTCTAACAGGTCTTAATCACACCAGTCTGGCCTACACAGTCATTCCGAGCACCGACTGGGGGGGCCTAAAGCCTCTGCTGAACATCCCCTGCCCTCCTCAGCAGCCAGCCTGTCCTTTCCTCCTGCACCCCGTCACAGCTGAAAGCTGAGGGGAAGAAGGTTGTTGGATACTTGCCTACCTGTCTACAGTAACAGAAGCAACTCACTGTGCAGGACACAGGAGACGACTGTAGTGCAGTAACTGCTGTGGGAAGGACACGGCGTGAGGGCCGGGCAGTGCCAGGCGGGAGGGAGGGAGCAAAGCCCTGCCCTTCTTCTGTCACGGTAACAGAGCAGGAAGGGAATAAGCTGCTGCAGCTGCCACACCACCCAAGCATCCCTGTACCCCTTCACAGACACCAAACACCCCGGGGAGCCGGGAGCTTTCCAGCCTTCCCTCCAGAGGGATGGCAGCGAGGGCTGTCCCCTCACGGACACTCACGAGAACACACACAGGGGTCCCGTGGGCCGGGCCCTCGAGGGAGACCCAGTGCCTCCCAAAACATCACCACACGTGCTCCCGGGCTGCCACTGCACCCAGAAGCTCTTGTAACTCTTTGAAAGGTCACCAGCACAGCATGGGACAGAGACCAGCCCCATCAGTGCCCTTCCCTGACAACTCCAATCCTGTGAGTTACCGAGACAAATGTCTGTGCTGGGAGAAAGTCCTGGCATCCAGCACGGTGGAATATTGAAACACAGCGTGAGCATCCCCCTTCAAACACAGTTTGGCAAGTCTTTGTTGTTGTCTGGTTTTTACATGCTTACAAGCCAAAGTTGTGGAGCCTTGAATCGTTCTCATTATTACTTGGGCCGTACATGCTAAAAGGGGAGATAAGCCCAAAACAGAACTGTGGGGAGGAGTCTAAATCTGAAAGTTGCCACATAACCACAAAAAAACCCCACACCACAACACTGAAGTTGCAGGCACACAATTTCATGCAGTTATTTTTTTGAACCCAGTCGAGAGCCCTCGCAACCACTGCCTTTCTAAAACTGCCCTGTGTGCCTGTGGATACCTGGTAAGGTGAAAAAAACGAGTTGGAAAAAATGTAGCTCGTGTTTCTCTAGATGCAAATCCAAAGGTCATATCAAGAAACCAGCTTCTGAACAGCAGAACACACAATAATGAGAGCAAAATACATTAATTACCAAGTTTTAAATAAAGTTATGACTAAACACAGCCTTGCAAACTGTCTAGTTTAAACAAGAGCTTTGGAAAACCTCGGTTGAAATTACTGTAACCTTGCTCTGTAGCTCTATATAAACACAACTGGGCACAACTAAATTATAAAACTTTGATACAGGTTCTTCCTTACATAGAAACACACAGTGCAGAATTACATAGCCATAGAAAATTTGACATCAGCTCACTTATTCAGATTTCATATTTTACATTTATCATCTCAAAGTGACAGAAATGAATGATTTTTTTTTTTTTTGGTGGCTATTATTTCAGTATGAAATTGACTTCAGTTACACAGTCCTGGAAATCGCATTATTCACTTTTTTATGTTAGCTTTACTAACATATTTTTATTATTTTGCACTCAAGATTAACAAATTCAGCTTAAAAATCCATTTAAAAAATCAGTAAAAAAGTTGACTGTTTCCAGCTAAGTGCTTCCACCAAGATTTTACCAGTAGATCTTATTCTTTCATGCATATGGGTGTTCTCAAAGGTACAATAAACCTTTTCTTAAATGAAAATTAGCTGATGATCGCTGAAATTAATTAGCTGAGCCCACCAAAATGAAGAAAGTATCCTTTCTGCCACTGTAAGAGAACTGTACTCTCAAAAGCTTTAAAACTTGAATAACGTGCAACCAGGGCCACAGCCAAGGACTTTAATTAGGTCACCTGTTCTTTACCACTTGGACAACAATGTTTTATGTCAATAATTTACATATACTTTGCAGTAAGTCCTAGCAGATTTCAGCAGAATTCATAGAAAGAAAAAAAAGCTAAAAAACTTGGATGGAGTTCTAAATTACAAACAATTACCCACTTCATTACTCACTGCTAGAAGAACAAAGCCCACCAGCTCCAGAGCTGGCCCAGAGCGTGCAATCAGATAAAACACAACACCTACACTGGTTGCTTTCCTCTTGCAACAAATATTCCAGATAAGGAGACATTTTTGTACTTTCGTTAAAACAATTATTAAAATATTGATTATCCTCCAGGTGCCAATTCAACAGATATTACCAGTCAAGCACATCAGGCACAGCAAATCCAAGATGCTGAGGTCCCACTCTGCCCACTTAAAGGTACGAGTGTGCCATTACAAATGTTCACAGTCCACATCTACGTGGTATGATCAGTTTGAAAAAGCCAGAAATGTTATCTGCACTGTAACATGTATCTCAAATCATCGTAAGGAAATGCCCCACCTACTTTATTTTTTTTACGTGCAAGTTACTCATACATAAATTAAACACATATCCCACATAAGTATTAGCTCATAACAGTCAATATTTTACTTTCTAACCCAGGAACATAAGTAAATCATATATTACAGTGTGTTGAATCTTCACAGAGCCACCTGAAGCTGTGCACATTTTGTCTTTACAGCGGGAAAGCAAAGCTCTGCCACAGACAATGGGAATGATGTGAGAAGTTTCCTGCTTCGGACATTCATCCCTATCCAAGGTTTAACAAGGAAGCAGAAGCGAAGCTCAGTTGCTATTAGAAGATATTAAGGTAAATACACAGTAAACTGAATCTCTGGGCACTCCTGCACAAAGGCAAATTCCCTGGATCAAGAGCAAGATTACCCACAGCCCCTGTGCTGCTAGGAAGAACAGTGGAAGGTCATAAGCCACCCAAGAAGACAGTGCAAATGAAAACATTCCTGTCACAGCAGAGCTCCAGGAACCATGAAAATAAACATTTTAATCACCTTCGCAAATCAGCAGATTCATCTTCCAGTGTGAGATCTGTCTGTACCATCTCCTGTTTCAGTTCTCCGATTTCTGAGGCAATTGTGTCAATGAGCTGGAAAGGGACAAAAATAGGATGACATCAAGTGAGTGGAAGAGGCGTGGAAAAGAAGCCCGGGCAAGTTTAGTCACCAGAGATTACAAACTGGGTTGGTTTTTTTTTTTTTTTGCAAAATCGCATCCTATTTGGACTTCCCCTTGCAAAGGAAAAAGTAAGGGCTGGGGCCACTTATAATGGTTCTCAGAGGAAGAATAATTCCTGTTCTGTGCCAGTACAACACCTTCCAGGTTGGCTAGCCTTTGTATTTAAAGGTATTCAATTTGCAGCCTCTACATATTATACAACAGCTTACAGAACTAAATTATTCAACTACTTGTAGCATTTACTTTCTCAAATAAAAAGAAAAAATATATTTAGAACAGTGCCATCTGCAAGAGTTCGACTGCAGAAGGGGCACTAAGCCAGCGTGATGATACCGTGGAGGATGAAAAGCAATGAAGCAAGAAAGGAATGAGGAGCTGCTTTTCACGTTGGGTTTCGGATTCCACTTGAACAGAACAATTCAGTTAAAAGGAACTGCCTTGTAACACTCCAGCTCAGGTGGAACACCATCCTAATTCTGGGCATGAGGGCAAAAACTCATTTTAATCTGGGCAAGGTTAGCACGAGGGCTGCATCCTGAGAAAGGAACAATTTGCTAGCCAGAGTTCTGGGGAACATTTTGCTGAGCAGAAACCAGCTACAAAGTTTGCAAGCCGTGCTGTCTTGAACACTCTTTGCAGCCAATGCATCAAGTTTGCTGGTCTTGCTGCACCAGGACAGTACATAAACCCTGGCAGTGTCCCCTCCCTCCTGCCTGAGAGAAGCTGATGAGAAGGTTTGCAGCGATGCAGTGATCTCTGCCACCGTCCCTGAACCACAGAGCAAACAAAAACACTGGTACTGGGGCAGAACCAGCTTCCCAGTCCAAGTCAGAACAGTCTTCACAGTCACTCACAAGACATGACCCCGAGTCCCGCTCAGGGCAGGCAGCTCAGCACAGCAGCGTTTCCAAACAATTGTGGGCATCATTTCCCTATGCTGTTCTACTGGAAGGAATTCACTCTCTCCTTTGCTGTGCAGCATTATTCCAATCAATTTAAAAGAAGTTTTAGTCTCTGCTTACAACTGGCCAACCTTAAGTGAGAGTGCATTACCATGATCCACACCGTTTCTGTCAGAGCTCCCAGACATCCTGTACCACTGGCATTGCAAAGACCTTCCCCCTGCTGACTCTTACACAGCCCTGAGTGTAAGCCAGGGCTTACTGCAGCCAGATGTGAGCAATGCCTTCCTGAGCATGGGAGAGAGAAGAACCCAACCATCCTGCCAGAGCCAGCACACCCCAAGAACCTATTAGGCCTAAATCTCTGATGAGTAACCCATTACAGCCTCTAGGTACAACAATCACTCAAACTACTTCAGTAGCTGTACCTTCTGAATGTACTTTCTTAGAGCTACTTTTAAATAACTAATGGCGTTCTAAAATACTGACACAACGGATTTCTGGTTATTTGTATGAAAACATACAAAATGTGAGTCAAAAAACGCTAATAAATACACACTCAGAAAGAAATACACAATTTGTCAATTTAAATAAAGAATGTGACAAGTATTTGGAAAAAATAAGAGCACATCCTTTGTGAAAAAAAATCCATTCCAGGTTCCATTACAGCCTATCAGTTACTTATATTAGGATTTCCTATCCCTGGATTAAAATCACATTTCATAACTGATGGCAGAACACAAAGGAAAAGGGCTTTATTAATTAAAAGAAGTTGTTCCAATGTCAAAACACAAGCAAAAACTATTCAGTCTCAGGTACCTGCTAAATTTCCCCAGTGTTCATTCCTTATGAGGTTTGCTAAGTGCAGTGAGACAACCATACCAGCTGTTACTGCTAAATAAGACACTGTTGATGCAATCCTCACTCTGTCTCTACAGCTTTTGGAGCCTTCTTCCCTTTCTGGTTCTGCTGAAACTTTTCATTTCAGAGCTTTAAAATACCTGCTAACTGCTGGAACCACTGAAAGGGATGACTTGCTCTGTCGCCATCTGGCTGTTAACTCACTTAACTGAGTTAATGGGCTTTGATCAGAGCTGCAAAAAACCCCAAACCCTCCCAAAAAACACCAACCAACCAAAATAAAAACAAAACATCTCCCTCCCAGAAAACAGAATCTCTGGACACTACAGCAAAGAACTCAAATCCAAACTGTACTAAGGGCAAAGTAATCTGAACACTTTTTAATTTGTATGCCTGCCTTGAAGAGAAATCATCATTCCTGAGGGGAATTTTTCCATGTTCAGCAATTTCACTTTATCTAAAGAGAACACAAATGAAATGGCACAATTCCAGGAGCCTGATGCTCACATTCTATTCCACAGGGCAAATTTCTGGGGTATACTACATATCCTCCAGGACAAGGCAGTCTTTCCTCAGTCTATGAGAAGTCAGTACATCCTGGACAAGGAAACCAGGTAAAGTGTGGTATCAAACCAAACAGAACATGCTCTGCAACCCAACAGTGACTTATCACCTACCACCCTGCATCTCAACTCAAATAAAACATTCATCTTTGGGAATAACCCCCCCTGGTTTGCTCTAAAATAATCCACCAATATTTTCTGCAAATTGCAACTGATTTTCCTTAAATTTTCCTTGTGGTAAAAAAAGTTACTCTCAAATTAAAAAAAAAAAAAAAAGAGAAAAGGTCTTATGGAGTTGAATCATTTGGGTATCCTTGCAGTTGACTGACACATACTGTCACAACAGCACCTGACAGATCATTTTCCATCAAATAACCCAGGGTGCACTCATGATTTTATGACATCCCCTCCGAAGTATTCAGGACCAATGAAAGGTCTGGTGATTATGCAGCACCTGTGATGCACACATGATGAGCACCAGACAAGATGAGTTGTTAATAACAGGTTTCTGCAAAATGCAGGAAGAATCCTGGCTATGGACTGTTATTAGCTTCGACCCTGAGAAAACAAACAAGCAGCAGCAAAGGGCTCTGCCTTTTTAAGTGCAATTGGAATTCCTCAAACAGATTTCTCTATTTGCAAAGAGTGTGATACCTATTTGGCTGGAAATAGTTGGCAAACTCACCCATTTTTTTCAACAGACTGGAAATCAAGGTGGTAAGAGGCAGTTTCCAAAGGAAAATACAACTGAAGTGGACGGATACATTTGCCAGGGGCCACTGTTAATGTAAAATAGCATACACGAACCCAAAGACTTGAAAAGTAATCAGGAGAAATCTGTTGCAGCCTGTTTAGGACTATGAGATAGATACTACCCTGCTACACTACAGAAAGAGGAGGTTTACTTGAAAAGGAATGCGTTTGGAAGTATGACATCCTCTCAGGTGTTTAAAAAAAACCCAACAAAATTAAAATGACACCTTACATAACATGATAAAATAGCCATTTTTGAGTCTAATGATTTTCCTTTGGAATTTCTTTCTGATAAAGCACTGTTCCGTAGGTTAAAAAGAAACTACAATGTAACCACTGTAAACCCAAAGAATAATTATGACTCAGACAGCGTGAACTCACACAGTAGCCCAGCACAGTATTCCCTAAGCAAACTATCCTAAACATTACATTGCCAAATACCACGGACTGTTTACATGCCTGATACCCATGAAAGAAATAATGAAATGCAAACATCTTACACCACAACATTTCCTTTCAGAACGTGCCACACTCTGCATATTGTCAATTGATTCTTGGTTCAGCGAGACTGAGCTCAGCGTTTGGAAGCTGGGGGGGGTAACACTCCTACACCCAGACCACAAACATGGCACTCCAGCAGCCCAGAGCTCTGCCACCACAACCCACAGGCCAGTTTTGGTTGGCATCTTTTAGGATGTCATATAAGCAGCAAAAGCAAGAGCAGGTGTGTTCACCAGAAGCAACACACTGCCCAGGGGCTACAGTCACCTTTGGGAAGCTGCTCTGCCGACACACACAGCCAGACACAGCCAGTGCCTCTCCCAGAGGAACAGCCTAACTATAGGTCTTCTTACTCACTCAACTGATGAAGAGCTTCCTGTTCCCAAGAGGAGGACAGGTGGCTTTGACTTGATGTCTGTCTCAGGACATTTTTAGAAAAAAACTGCACGACAACTGAATTCCTGTTTTTTGTGTCGAAATGCCAATAAGCCTGTACAGGGAACTAACAAAACTGCCAGCTCTGGCAGCCAAGGAGGAGTCAGCCCAGCAGACCACTGCAAAATGTTTCCAAGCCCTGAGATTTAGAACAGCAGAAGAGGAAAAGGTAAGATCAGTGCTTCCAATCTGGTGAGGCAACCCGGGCTGAAGATAGCAAGATCAGACCGGACAAACGAGCCTCGCCGCTCAGCACCCCCCTTCCTGCCAGCAGCTCATTTTTCATTCTTTCTGTAGACCTGCATCCTCTTTGGCACCACATCTTTTCCTTCCTGTTTTGATAAGCAGAACGTAGCAACCCTGACAGAGCACCCTGTGTGAGGAGGTGGCCAAGTGCCAGAGATGAGCCCGACTGGGAACGCCGCTCCCGGACTCGTGCAAACGGCTGAGTACAATCGAGTATTTTGATACACGGCTGCAAATTCTGCTTGTTTTGCACAGTGAGCTGTGAATTCTAAGGGCCATTGACACAGTTCACTGTCTTATTCATCAGCAAGCAACAAAGTTTTACGCTATGCTCGGTTTTGGAACAGAAAAGCTTTATTGGCATAAAACCTCTGAAGCCAGTTCAGTAAAGACTGGAACATCTTCACGAGGAGGATGTTTCAGCAAAGAGGACATTTCTCAGGGACATATACATTCAGTTCCTTGCTCTACTGCACACTCCCTCTGTAACCACTGGCAGGCTGTGCAGTCCCAGAATTACCCAAGACTATCTCCATCTTTGCTTCATTTTAACTTCTTGCTGGCTCTAAGCTTCATCAACTGCGAGGCACAAAGAGTCCACAGAATTTAGCCTGTAAAACTACAGACCTCTGCTCTGTGTGAAACGGGGACAATACTGTGTCCCTGTGTAAAATGGGGACAATACTGTTTTCCTTGTGTACCAACAGTCAGAGGAATGTCCGTGAAAAAACTAAAAGATGGCAAGAAGCTACAGCAATGAGAACTACTTAAGAACCAGAAAAAAACCATAATGTTGGAATTTCCCACTGGTATTTGTCAGTGATTTTTCTGGGAAATGTTGCTGAGAATGGTAAGATACTTTTTTATGGGGATTTAAGTGCCCTGAGAATCTGCATGCCAGCATGGTAAAGGTTTCTTAGGCAACTGCAAAGCAAAAGCACAGCAGGAGAGCCATGTGCAGAAGTACACTACACAGTCTGTGCATGTGAGGAGAGCATTCCAAACTACACATCACCAGGGGTAAAATCCCACAGCAGAATCACTAGTTCTCCTAAACACACAGACAAGGCAAATTAAAATAATGCAAACTGGAAAAAATCTCATGTGCAGGTATTTTGTTTGCTCACCCTTTCAGCTGTAGCAAACACAACAGTTGTCACAATTTGATTTATGTGGGGGAGGTAATTTCACTGCACACACCCCAAGACCCCGGGTGCACTGCACACAGGCTGGGTACACTCACTGCCTGCACTTTCCAAGGTGACACTGTGGGTTCAGAACCACGGCCCAATTGCAGCTTCCCAGGGATGGGGAGAGCTCTGAAAAAGCAGCTTTGAGGCATCTTTTCCCCAGCCAGCCTGTCCTCAGGAAAATTTAGGGCAACCTTAGTTTCTTAATTGACAGTGTTTCTTACAGCCTCAAGAGTCCCATGTCTAGAAATTGCTCGGGCAGACTGCATTCCTAATCATCCTGAGCAACTACAACCACATCCTCAGGAACAAAACAGCTGTTCCAGCATCTATTTTCCACACAAGAATTACACAAGGAGATAGCAAAGGACTGCAGAACATGGACACTTGCTTACAGTCCCATCTGACATGAGGATTCCTTCAGCATACACATAAGTGACAACCTAGAAATATTCCTCAGAACTGAGACAGTTTCTTGCTATGACTTGAAAAATACAGCTTTTCTCCCTAAATGGCTGTGGACTGCCACTAACAAGCTTGATGTCTGTGGTCCTGAGATATGAGATGTAGCTGAAGTGTGTTGCAAAACCTGAGAAGTGGTTCCTGTCCCTGGAATCCCCTGTTAATAGCTGACCACACGAAGCCCTGGGCAAGCCAAAGAGGGAAACACAGTGTCACTGCAGTGCTGGTTGTTCACTCCCTAAAGACTGGTTTAAGCTAAAGACAGCACATAGCACCTGAAACAAACCCTTCAACAGCGCTTGTGTGCCACTGCCACAGTCCTGGTGTGAAGTTGCTGACACCAAAGCTGGTCCTGGCACACTCCTTACAGCTCTCCATGGGCTAAAGGCACCAGCCACCACCTGCTTGGCTCCCCTTTGCCTGTAGCCTGCTGTAAGCATATTTATCACCCACTAGAACACCCATCCCCCAAGCATTAGGGCCAGATTCAGGCAGCAAAAGAAGGGTATTTCTGTCCCACAGGAAGAGAAGGGATGGAAACAGTGATGTGCAGAGATGGCAGCAAGTGTTGCACTCTCACTGGCAGAAGCTGCAGCAAGCAGTGAATATTCCAAGGGATGTGATCACACTAAGTTAATTCAGTGCTCAGAAACATCCACAAAGTTTGACTGCTCCTTAAAGCAAAGCCTTGCCCAGCAAGACAGACACTGTGGCTCTGGCACTTGCCAGGAAGATACAGACTTCTCCTGGTCAGTGGCAGGACACCACAGTTTGACAGGTCAGCATCCTTTCCATACAGAGGCACTGCCTGGACACTCTTTTCCCTGTCCTGCTTTCTAGAAGCACGTGGTGTTCAGAGCTGTACTCACACCATGCACAGGAAGGCTTTGACAACTGTACTTCAGATCAATTAATCCCTTTCACTGAAAGAAAATCTTCCTAGCAGTGTTCTCTACAATTAAACTCAGCAAATCTTCCTTGCAGTGTTCTCTACAATTAAACTCAGCACTGCCTCCAGACCTCCTCCACTACACAAATACAACACTTAATGGGATTCAGTTGTGTTTTGAAAACTGCACTGCTAACTCTCACTGTACCTCAGCTTTTTGGGAGGCCAAGTTTTCCCAACATAGGCAAGGAAATGAAACCAACTTTCAATCCAATAATGGAAATCATAAACCTGTACCACAACTTTAAATGACACAAATCCACCCTATGAAAGCTCTTAACAATTTTATTCCTGTGCATAATAAAGCTTATGTTCTCAGCATTAGTGGCAAAGGAAGCCACGAGCTATTTTACACCAAGTATTCTATTCAGTGTACAGGAAAACAATATACACATGAAATAACTGGGGGGTCAGGAAGCCACAAACACCACCTGTAAAAAGAGATGCCCAAGAAGCACTGCCCATTTTACAGAAAAGCCTTGCTACATATCACAGAGAGCACTGAACATTCTGCAGCACTCATTTCACACTAACCCATGGACTTTAAGTTCTGTATAAATATCCCATTTACCTTAAAGAAACTTCCTCTTTTGTCCAGACAACAGGTTTTCATTGTCAAAGACGACATCTTCCCTGAGAAGACTCCACTGTATGCTTTGAACTCCTAAAAGCAGAGACATTTTTTAATGGTTAGTCCAGCCTGTAGGAAATTCCTCTGCATTTCTAAGCCACAGAAACAGTCACAACAAGCCTCCTGCCAAATCCCTTTCCATCAACAACACTGTGCCATTTATTTCCTACCAGAGTCCTTACGTATCCCTTCACTCTATTATTTTTCCATAAACTGCTTCAAAAAAACAGTGCTACTCAGAGTTCAATGTTTCTCCCTTCTCTTCACAGCTGATCCTGTAGCTGTGAGTAGATTTTAATGTGCTCATTAAAAAAGAATGCTAAAACATAATGATTGCTTTCTTTGTTTGCTTGACCTCAGCCTGCAGTACAAACAGAACAAAATGTTAGATGTCACTACAAGCTGCTCTCAAATATTACAGTATTAATGGGATTTACCGAAGGGGGGGGGAGGGAAACAATTTAAAATCACCCACAAGGGAGAAAACACGGTAGCATTGAAGTAAAAACTGATGAAGAAAAAAAAAGCCCAAGCACCCCCCAAAAATGCTGCTTCAAGTTCCTAAAATGCCACTGAGTCACATCCAAGTGAGGAGATGAAGATGCAGTTAGGAAGAAGCTGCATTTTCCACTCTCAGGTAAATTTAATGAATGGTTTAACACCCAGGAGAATAAAGTAATGCCTCACTAGAACATACTCACAGAAGGAGGAATATCAGCAGGGTGATCTCCAGCTGCAAGTAGAGTAGGACAGCTTCTCTTAAGTCACAACCAGTTCACACCAGTAATTTGTGAACAAACTTCTGAACTACACAGGAATCGGTTCCTTGGCTAAAAAGTCCTTCTAGGATTTTTAAAGGTGAGTTTATAATTGTATGCAAACAGCCTAACTCTCCTCCTTGCCCACACATTTACCAACCACCCAGCAGGCAGTCATGCTGGAAGTTTCAGTCACCTAAATGTTGAATAATGCAAGCACAAAACACTACAGAAAGAACTGACACGGCTCAGCAAGACCAAGGTGGAAGGAGGAGCTTAAATAAAAAAAAGGGTTAAATGAAAAACCCTGGCAAACAAAAGCCCTGGAGAGGGCTGACAGCTAGAAGCAGGAGAAAAGAAACATTTTCTTTTGGTTTTAACATGTAGCAGGAAGCTTTAAATACTTCGCCCTTGTTTCCAGAGGTCATACCATGAGAGCACTAGAAAAGGTTACATTTTTCCACTCAGACTCTGGTCAAAAAGCAGCCGTGCTGGGAAGCTCAGAATCCTGCCTGTTTTCCAGGCAGAGTTTGCAGACATTTAAGGTTGAAAGAAAAATCTTGAATTCTGCATTGTTGTGAAAGCCAAACCAGGAAAGGACAAAAAACAGTGCAGGGAAAAAAAACCCAAAACAAAAAAAATCCAACTTTCTTTGCAAATCAGTGTATTTAAAGGATCCACTCCTGGTACTGTGATCTGTGTTTCTTTACTTAGAAGTGCACCTAAATAACCTGACTGCACCAATCCCATAAGAGACTGATGTTCAGTGAAGTGGGGGAGTTTGCAGGTGCTATTAAATCACTTAATCTGTGTCCTCATTTGCTGCATGCACAGGGGACAGTTGCTCCACTCTGGGGACATCAAACATTTTTAAAGACTTTTGGTATTTGATATCGGTTATTCTACACAATCTGAAGGTTGCCATTTAACAAGTTTTTTAAAATTACAGAAAAAAAAATTGTTTTCTGTCAATGAATTCTGGAAAGGGAAATTTGCACCTGAAAGACTTAAGTTGGAGGGAGACTCAAGAAACCCAAAAAGGAATTAGAATAAAACCTCAATTTTCCAAGTTGATCCTAATCCCAAAACAACACCACCAAATTAAATACCATAGGAAAAACCCCTAGAGACTTCAAAGGAATTACATTAGAGGGTTATAAGCAAGATCATGCAGTTGTTATTCACTCCATTTGCAAACAACAACCCCTTCACAGGAAATCTAATGCTTTTTTTTTTTTTTTTTTTCAGTTTAACCACAAGGATGTCTGCACACAATCCTATTACCAAAATAAGATTATCCTGCCAAGATTTTTACATTCCCCACTCAAACATACAGACAAATCCAAACACACAGTTTGCCCTTCCAGGAGTATATGACTCCAGTCAGAAGAAAGCCTCAAACGTGACCACTTCTTATTTTATTTGTAAGAGGCTCTGGAGCTCTAAACTGTTTCATAACTGCTATTATTGTTACTATTTATGCAATAGTACTGTGATCTGTAGGACCATAACTCCGAGCTCGAGCCCTTGCTCTTCTCAGTCCCACACAGCCAGTGAATCAATCCCCACTGCCCTTGGTGGTTACAGTGTAATTTCAAACTGATTTAGGGGAACCTAAATAACCTTTCCATGTTTGAGCAGGTTTTAGTATTTCTGACTAAATCTAGTGCAGTGGGAAACACTGCTGGGTTTTTTCGTATTTGCTGGGAGGGCTTTTTTTTTGTGCAGCTACTTCTTTTAGGCCACCCAATACACAAAGAGACATTAAGGGTCAATGGTAAAAGGGATGGTCGGGGTACAGCACTCAAAAAGTGGGTGAGTGCTGCACCCTCCTACCTCAGGGCTCACCGGTACCTCCCCATGGTGCCAGAACAACTGCAGAAAAACAAACCCACTGTCAGGAGAGTTCATCTCTCTACACAGCTGTCCACATCTGATGCTTATTCAGATCCAAAACAGGCTGGAAAACCACTGCTCTGGAGTTGTCGTTGTTGAGTTTGGACAGTTTGAGGGAAAAAAAAAATAAATCTCCCTCCTTTGATTGGGATGCCAGGTAGAGAAAGTCAGCAAAGCACGTCATCTTCTGTACATACGGGAGAGGAGCATTTTCTCCTCCCTCTGTGCTCTAGAAGGCA